CAGCCCAGTTCTAAAACCCAGTCCAGCTCTAGAGCCCAGCCCAGCTCTGAGACCCAGTCCAGCACTGAGACCCAGCCCAGTTCTAGAACCCAGCCCAGTTCTAGAATTCAGTCAAGACCTGGAGCTCCCTTAAGTTCCAGAAGCCAGCTTGTTTCTGGAACCCAACCCAGCTCCAGAAATGGCCTCCGCCCACAGACCCCTAGCCTTATCCCTAACCCGCAGCTGGATCCCAAGCCCCAAGGTAGACCACAGCCCCCAAGCCCGCCCCCCAGAGCCCCAACTCCAGCCCCCAGCAAAGTCCCAAGACCTCTGCCTCAGCCCCATGATCTGGTACGTGGTACCCAGGCCAGCCTGGGCCCGACTCAATGCCCACCAGCCTCCCCACTCTCCCCAAAGCCCCAGGCCCCCTCCATCCCCCAGAAGCCAGCCCTCTCCCCGAAACCCAAGTTAGGGCCACAGAAATCCACCTTACCTGCTCTATCTGTCACTCTCAGGCCTGTTCCCAGGGACCCCCTGTGTTCCCAGTCCCCTGAGCCCCCAGCTCAGGGCCCAGCCCCCTCCTTCAGGCCCCAGTGGTCAACACCTGGTGTGCAAGCCTCAGGCCCACCCCCCTACCGCGGCAGGCCATAGCCTGGTGTGATATCATTTGGACCACCGACGAAGAGTGGGCCTCACCCCCTCTTGACCCATCCAACCTGGGTCCCCAAGAAGCAGATGACCTCATCGCCCAGGGCTGTGGTGGGGGTGGGCAGAGGGCTCTGTGTCACCGGGCCCAGCCCTGAGATCCCAGGTCCAAGGACAGAAAGAGGGGGGCAGAGGCGAGGGTGGGGTGGTGGGCAGGAAGCAGCTCCCTCCTCATGTACCTCGAGGGCTGATAGCAAATAAAGGCACATCCTTCCCTCCGAACTGTCTCCTTCCTGGGGCACCTGGTGGTCAGGGGGCTGGCAGGGATGGGTGAACATGGGGTGACGTCAGTATGTAGTGAGCACCTACTATGTGCCGGGTGCTCCCTGTGCGGGCCAGCTGATGGTGCGAACACACCAGGCATTCCATAGCCACCCAGCCAGCTGCCCGTCCCATCAGTGTTTAAGTGCCCGGCGCTTTATTGAAGGCCTGTGTGTTGTCTCCTGGTCTGACGTGCTCCCCAGAAATGCAGCCGGGTGTCCATGTGCTCAGTATCCATCACCCACTACATGCCAGGAGCTGTTGATGGCAGTCCCCCAAATCCACGGGCATTGAATCTGCTCGGCCTCACAGCAACCCTGCACGGGGTGCTGAGACCCTCAATCATTATAGGAGCAGACAGCCTCATCTTTCTCCCAAGGAGCGGCTGGTGGGTTTGAACCATTGACCTGAAGTTAGCAGCCCGGTGTGGGCAGCCACAATGCCACCAAATACAGACACACCGTCATCAAGCGGATCCCGACCCTAGAGGAACACAGGAGGTCTGAGTGCGGGGGGCCAGGTGTAGGACAGGCTAGACCTGCCCCCTGGATTTTGAGACTAAGCTCTTTATGGGAGTCAAGCGCCTCCTCTTTCTCCCACAAAGCAGCTCAACACGGAACCCACTACATCACCAGGGTGTCTTTTAATCACACGGGGTGGGGGCTCCCATTGTCTTTGTCCCCTTCTTTCCACACCCTCTTTGAGGCCCCCTCATAGAACCTCCTCGTAAAGGTGGTGGGGAGAGTTGTTGTCAGGAGAGACCAGGCCCTGGAGAGGGCTGAGTGCTCGGCACAGAGGAAGACCCCCAGTGAGATGGGTGGACACTGTGTCGGCGCAGGGCTGAGCAGTGTCTTTCTGGGGCACACAGGGACATGGCATCGGGTTGGCGCTGAGCTGGTGGCACCTAATAGCAGCAGCAGCAGGCCTTGCATGGAGCCAGGAAAAGGCTGCGTCCATGAGCTGGGGAGTGCGGCCAGCTACCACCCCCACTCCTACCCTGTTCTGCTCGGAAACATCGCCCCCGAGCTGAGGGTAGAAATATATTTTGGCAAGATATTAGGGGGCTGTGTGTGTGT